TCTTTCAAGTATAATCCCATATTCTGCTTTTTTTTTTATATATAAAAAATTAGAAATTAATTATAAAACGGCGATGTTTTTTATGAAGAATAAATGTATAAGCATAACGATATTAAGGATGGGGTTCGCATTGAAGATAATATAAACATAACGCCGACATTTATATACATACATATAAACATATATATATATTCTAATGACCGTTACTATAATAAACGATTTACTTGTTTTTTTTTGGGTAAAAAATGATTTACTTGTTGAAAATGACCAACTTGTAAACGTTCTTTAACTTCAAATTGTGCAAATAAACTAACTGAAAAAAATTAACACTTTGAAGAGAATGATCAAATCACCTGCGAAAGCAAGAGAAAGAAGAAGAAGAACACGAACAAGAGAAATTCTCATGAATGGTTTTGTTGTCATATTGAAAGGAGAGAGAGAGAATGTGAGGTTTATTATGGGTTTATGAAAGGTGAGAGAATATATATATATATATATATATCTATATCTATATCTATATATGGGAATACTTTTCTTTGCTTGTTTGCATGCTTTTTTTTTATATGAAAGGTTAAGGTTTGAAGTTTCTACATTTTTTGGTGGCTTAGCCTTTGCCTCTCTCTTTTTTTTATTTATATATCCATTTGCCGTTTTCAATAGGCCAAAACAATTCCCGTCGACGGATATTTTCTACTAGTTCTAGAATTCATTTTTGAATAATTATTTATTATTTTATCCTATATATATGAAATAAATCATCATTGAAATTCTTCTTCTTTTTTTTCACTCATCGACGTTAATAGTTTCTTTGGAATATTCCAATTTTGTGATTTAGCCAATGGACTTTGACTAATATCGACAATATTTACTATTTAAAAATTAACATGTTTTATTTTTCTTGAAGTTTCCTTTTCCTTTTTGTTTCTTTTTTTGGGAACGATTTAATGCATATAGACCATGCCACGTATGATATTGACTTTGATACATGCAATGCACTGAAAACAGTTGTTGTTGTTGTTTTTTTGCTGGAAACAAAACGATTAGAGTATAATTAACAATAATTTGTTCAATATTAGAATAAAGTTACCATTTTCCAGGAATCAGACAAAGTTGAGAGCGTCACACTTGTAGCCTTTGTAGCGGCCGGTCAATCTCAAGCATCGTTTCTTGTTTTCTAATTTATCGTAACCAAATGAATTTGGTTGGGCAAAGATAAAATAATTACATTTTAATCCAAATGAATTTGATTTGTTGTCGAATGCATCGTATATGCCACACGGCATTTAATTTGATTTCTTAACTATTATATATAGATGATCATTTATATAGTAGATTATTATAAAATATAAACTACACATATATTTCTACATTTGTTATGGATATATCATACAATTTGATACAACGCAGTCAAAATTGGTTTACTAATCATATAAGAAAAGAAGTAACAAAACAAAATTCGAAAGTAAAAAATTGTCAACAAAATCGAGTTTGGTTAATTAATGGATAAGGATTAAGAGACAAATGTAGACGTCGGACAGCTTTAAACTATTCTACAAAAGCTTTGTTTTTTCCGATTACAAGGTGTCTTCGACAGTATTTACAACTTTAAATCTTACATATTTAGATTGATTTTTGTATCTAGATCAAAACACGAAGCGGCAAAGGATCTACCATCTACACCAATTTTTTTTAGATTTTTTTAATCATTATTACAACAGGTAATTTATTCTCTAAAGAAAGATATACAATTTTTTTTTTTGTTACCTTTCAATTTACACTTACCCAAGTGTTATATTTGAAAGACACACACAATATTTTGAGCATGTTAGTTGACATGTAAAATGGGGTATATGAATATGTGGAATCACGTGTTTATAAAACATGTCTATATGTAGCATTCCGCTCAAGAATCATAAAGAAGATCCCTAAAGAAAAGAAAAAACTTTTTCTTCCTGCAAAAAGATACGATCTCTGTCGGATGCAAGTCAATAACAAACCTTTGAAGCTAAATGCAATATATATATATATATATATATATATTCGACCAGAATATTGATTTAACAACAAATTAGCAGTTTTATCTTTGGCATGAAACAACATAGAAAAGTGTAATATTTATGTTAAAAGAATCTTAACAATTTTTACCAAAAAAAAAAAAAGAATCTTAACAAGTCACAACAATTCGAAACATTTTTGTTCAGGGTTTTTTCGGCAAATATAAACCAGTGTAAACCGGTTTTCACATTAGACCGGTTTAAATTGGAAATTCCCAAAGAAAACCGGATATCAGTCATGATGGGCCTAAATGGGCATCCGGCTAAAATCAATCAAACGGAGAGGTAATTTACAGAGATTTGCTTGTCCACGAAAATCCATTCATTCCTTTATTTGATCGTTCCCATATTTTTGAGTTCTCGGGACGACACGTACAAAAGAGTCGAGGGTTTTACAACTTGGCATGGACGAGAGGATAGTCCCAGTCGGTCTTGATGTGGTTACGAGTTATCTCGTCCAGGGAACGGCAGCCACTGAGTGCCATCGTCAGCTCGAACTCGTCACCGAGCATCTGAAGCATTTTCCTCACTCCTTCCTCTCCTCCCACCGCCAACGAGAACACTGTCGGCCTCCCAACCTTACGGAAAACACCACGAAATCTCCCGATCAGGGTTTGTTTCCTCAAATGCAAAAGTTTTAGGCCATAAATGTGAATACCCAATAGATGAAAACCGGGAGGAAGAAGAAATCAGGGTTTTTTTTTTTGTTTTTTCCCATGAAGATGGCTTGAGGGAGTGAATTTAGAGATGGAGGGTTAAAGGGGAGGAGGGACTTACGAATACACCCGAGGCACCAAGAGCCAATGCCTTAAAGACATCTGTCCCACGCCGAACACCTCCATCAAGAAAAACAGGAAGCCGACCTTCCACGGCCTTAACCACCTGTAAGTTTGATCGATCAAATCATCAAACTTTAACGTTTATACTCGAAAAAGTTTCGTGCTTTCTTTGCGGATGTTTGTTCTTCTGTGAAAAGAAATCCGAGAGAGATGGGAAAGAAATGGTTGGAGAGAGTACCTCCTCGAGGGCCATAATAGTTGCAGGGACGTAATCAAGCTGGCGAGCTCCATGGTTGGACACTATGATCCCTGCAACCCCGCTTTGAACGGCCATTCTTGCTGCAGCGAATGATCAGAAAGTATCGAGAGGCTATGAATAACACGTCTTGTTTAAGTTCCATAAAGGGTAGTAACTGAGAAAATGCAGATGTAAACTTTCCGAATCTTACCATCCTCGGCTGTAAGAACACCCTTAACAAGAATTGGCAAGCTGGTTATAGTCTGGAGCCACTTGACGTCCTGATCGATGTGATAACAGAAACGAAGAAAACAGTTTTTGTTGGAGTTTTTCCCAAACCAAAATGATCGGACAAAAGTTTTTGTATACATAGAGATTTCACATTCTGACCTTCCAGCAAAGAGACCGATCAACTTGGCCAGCAACGTATGAAGCTAGCCCAGAGTCACTGGTCTGCAATGGTTCACAAAATGTTATGACACTGAGCAAGATATGCTGAGAGTTAGTAATAAGGTTTATGCCCTAACTCCACCACAAAAGCTAGCTTAAAAGTGGAGGTTTGACCCTTACTTATATATTGGTCCAAATCCCTCTCATTTTCCAATATGGGACACTTATCAGTTAGTCCAAAATTTCATAGAACCCGAGTGACTTATTAATATTGCCAATGGCAATTATGGCCATACCCTATCTATTTTTCCGAGATCCAAACCTTCGAAGTTCTTCAATGACAGATGTGGTGGCAGAGCAAATCTGCAGATAAAATCGGTAAGAACATCCGAGAGATTTCAAGAATTGGGTATTATATGGTAATGTTTCACCTGTTTTTGATATCTGATTCCCTACGGCCAAGCTTCGGGGTATCCACGGTAAGAGCAATCGCTTTGAATCCAGCCCTTTCAGCTCGTCTAACGAGTTGTATGACCACGTTTCTGTCCTTGTAGACCTGGATAGTAATGATTAATAAACAATCAAACCTGATAAAAAAAAAATCAAGATCAAAGAAGATATGCCAGAAAAAAAAAAAATCTCGGGTGCGTTACATAGAGTTGGAAAAAGCGAATGCCGGGTCCTGTTGAAGAAACCTCCTCGACACTACAAGTACCCCATGAAGATAGTGTCTATGAAACAACAAAAAAACCCAATAAACATAAGAATGCTGATATCCAAGAATAATCAATTAAAAGGGAATATCCAAACATGGAGAAAGAATGTGAACCATAATTGTCCCGGCAGCTGAAGCTGCTCTTGCGGTGGCGATCTCACCTGCAGAGAAACATCATTTCCATGTCTGATCGTTATTTTTTCAGACAAGCAAAGCTAAATGCAATAACACTTTGGCTCATTGTCCTGTCCTGAACTAAACTTGTAGCAGAAAACCTGTGTGGAGAACTTAAGTAGAAGAGCCTAGAACCAGAATTCTATTACAGATTTGGATAGATAGAAACTGCTCAGAAGCATTGAACAGCTACATACTAGTACCAGAGGTCATGAAACTTGTTTTCAGTTTTGCTAAAAAGAAATATATTTGAGACTGGATAGTGTAACTCATCCAGCAACCCCATTCTACACCAGCCATTGACATAACAAAATAACATTCAAGATTCAGACTTTCGCATCTTTTTAGTCTTGAATTCTAAAGATCACAAACGTATATGATCAAAATTTCGGAAGATCATGAAGATAGAACGAAATGTACCATCCGGGTGGACCATTTTCTGCATTGCTGTTGGGGCGATCATGATGGGCATAGAAATCTTGAACCCAAGAACTGTTGCGCTCACGTCGATCTCGCTCACATCAACCAGGATTCGAGGCCTAAATCTGGTGTTTTTTATTTTATTTTTGTTCAGAAACACAAGCAAAGTATCAATTTTTAGTCATCAAACTTGATTAAAAAGCCCCGGGGGGCGATCCAAATCTTGAACACTTGAAAGCTTACAGAATCCTGGAAAACGCATTCCGATTCTCAGCAAGAGTCCATTGATCCTCGGCCCCAGACGCATTGTAATCGTAAACCATCTTCGGTAACTTCTCCTTTGCGAGCTTTTCGAATTCCATTACGTTGGTTATCTCCTCCATATTTCCCATACCCTGCGTTCTCCCACTGAAAATTTTCCACAAAACCACCAGATTTAGCACGGAAATTTATGATTTTGGAGCATCATATCACTTTCAAACACCTAGAATTTTCTCAGAACCCAAACAATATGCAGAACAAAAGGCAAAGTGCTTCCAACCCAGGTTCAAATCCCATTTGGGGCAAACATTACCAAAAAAAAAAAAGATACAGAACAAAAGACATTACACAAAAAAAAACAAAAAAAGCACAGAAAACATCACCAAAACGCCACCTTTGCACAGTTTCTACGGAGACAAAATAAGGATCAGACAAGGAAAACAAATCTGACCCAGTTTCAGAGATCAGACGATTACCGTTCCTATCGAGCTCCTGACTTGATTCTCGATCAAAACAGAATGATAATCGACATCCAACGAAAGTCCATATAACCGAAATCGAAACTCTGGGAGCGTGAAAGAGAAGAAACCAAAGAAGTGATCATACCTTAGAGAGAGAGAGAGAGACTTGAGATTCCTAGTCCGAGAAAGGTGACGGGAGAAACCAAGGTAAAAAGAGAGAAAATGCCGAATGAATGTGAATATATATAATTATAATATATATACACGAAGGCGATTTGTTTTCAAAAAAAAAAAGAAGCTCGTGAGTAAAGTCTTTTACCACCTAAAAAAAAACCAAATGGAGCTCGTGATGACGATTACACCTGGATGAGTGGCTCGTGATTCTCACGTGCCACGGTGATGGACACGTAATCACTGATTACCAACGATGATTATTCGGTCTTATCGCGTCTTTATCCGAATTGGGCCTTTAGGCCCTGTTAAAGGCCCATTAACTTATAATGGAAAAGTACGTATAAAATGGAACTTGACGGTTAACCGCAAACCGAACTTCGTGCCCTCTTTGCTTATCTTCTGGCGCATAAAGCAGCAGAGAAGCAATGGCTATGGCGTTGGGTTCTTCTAGAGCTATCAATGGAGGATTTCCTTCATTTCATTCTAATTCTCCTTCTTCTCCAACTTCTGCATCCACTTGGATTTCAGCTTGCTACGGTTCCACTCCGGCGACCGTTTCCAGCCAGCGACGAAGGATCTTCATCTTCGGTTCGAGTTTCGCAGCTGCGGTGAATTTTCTGGGTATATTCCGTGGTTCTATTGGGATTCGTTTCCCGGTAGATTCCGCGATCGCTTTGGAGCAATTAAAGAAGCAGTCGAAGAAGGGAGAGGATGAGCTCGAGGACGAAGAAGAAAGAACCGTTTGCCTCTTCCAGGTACAATTATCTCCTTCAATTCAAATCTGCAATTGGGTTTCCCGGAATTCACTTCAATAACGTGGAAGTTTTTTAAGGGGAATTTCAGAAGCTCTTTGCTATGGCGAACCCATTTTGTGCAGGAAACTTCGCCATCTGTTGTTTACATCAAAGACATTGAGCTGCCCAAAAATCTAAAGAGCTCCTCTGGTGAAGCCTCGGACTTAGAAGATGGAAATGCTAAGGTTGAAGGGACAGGTTCGGGCTTCGTCTGGGATAAGTTTGGTCACATTGTAGGCAAACTTTCTTACAATGATCTTATCTTACCACCCCCATAGCCTCAGACCTTATTTCCTTGTTGAATCCTGCAAACCAGAGATATCTCCTATACAATGCAGGTGACTAATTATCACGTCATTGCCAAACTAGCGACGGATCAGAGTGGACTTCAGTGTTGTAAGGTCCCCCATTCGTTAGACTATGCAGAACTCATTGCCGATTCCGAATGCAAAACACCTGAGCAAATCACCTGCTTGTTCTTAAGCAGGTGTCGCTAGTTGATGCCAAAGGCAATAGCTTTAGCAGGGAAGGTAAAATTGTGGGTCTAGATCCAGATAATGATCTGGCTGTGTTGAAGGTAACCTAAGCAACGATTATAGTGTTAGTTGTCTCACTTATTTTCAGAAAGTTTTGAGCATAGTGTTGGCCATTGAATTCCTTTTTTACCAGGTCGAAACTGAGGGCTATGAACTGAAACCTGTTGTTCTCGGTACTTCCCACGACCTACGCGTTGGCCAGAGTTGCTTCGCAATTGGAAACCCGTATGGATATGAAAACACTTTGACAACTGGGGTAAGGACCTGACTCTTGTTTCACGTGCCCGGATTTCAGAAGAGGTCATATGTTTTCATGCTTCTTTCTCGACACAAAGGCCAAGTGTTCGCTTCAAAGGTGTAACAAACAATGGTGTGTAATGTAGGTAGTCAGCGGGTTGGGAAGAGAGATACCTTCGCCGAATGGGAAGAGTATACGGGAAGCCATCCAGACAGATACTGACATTAACTCAGGTATAAGGAATATGCATCTTCTAGCTCTATCCACTTACATGGTACATACCTTCAGCAACCGGCATTGATGAATCAATGACTTATGGTTATGTACAGGGAATTCCGGGGGTCCATTGCTCGATTCTCATGGCCGTGTCATTGGCGTGAACACCGCCACATTTACCCGCAAAGGTTGGTTGATAATTTGATATGATCGGATCGGATCCAATCGAATACTTGCCCGGATTTAATAACAGAAGCAGAAACATAAGTAGATTTAACTTGTCTAGATTTGAGAACAGAAGCAGAAACATAAGTGTAGATGTATAAGTATGTTCTTAGCTTCTCTATATTTTTTTGGATAACCGAATATCGTGAACCAAGATCTAAACTAATTTCGGAGTCGAGTCGAGTCAGTTACATGATTTGGAATATACACCCCTTACCCAATGTGAACCCAAGTTTGGGTCTCGTAGCTTCTCTGTTTACTTGCATGAATGAAGAAGATACTGAACATTATTAGGGTGTTGACGTTGCAGGGACGGGGATGTCTTCGGGGGTGAACTTCGCCATACCCATTGACACAGTCGTCCGTACAGTACCTTACCTGATTGTGTACGGAACTCCTTACAGAGATAGATTCTGAACGACCTCTCTTTTTTGGGATAAATTGCGCGATTGTTGATAATTGATATGATGTAAAACCCACAAGACATAACTGTTACACATGAAACCATTTGTTGAATTTTTCATGTGTTTATATATACAGATTTACATCTGTTTGTGTGTGTAGGTATACATACATGTGTTACAGGGTGCATGTATTGTATGCAGATGCGTGTATTTAATGATAAGTGCTCAAAGGGAACATGTTGGAACATGAAATTGCAGATGATTGGTTGGCTTTGCAACTATATATATATATATGTATATATCTGCTGCTGTGACACCATGAACATATATATGCATGTATATATATAACAATAATAATGCTAAATATGTGTACATGATCCTGCAAAAATAATGGGGCATGATCTGGAAAACATATTTTAGAAAAGTAGTGTTAGCTGTATATGTTTCTAATGCTACGATATTTAATTATTGAAGGGGATACAACTTAGATGTTTCATGATCCTTTAGGTTTTAATCATACTTAATAATTTCATTTCGGTGTTTTATTAGAAGATTCTTCTAATTTACTTTAGTTTTTTTTTTATGTAATTTCATCTATTTATTGTGAATAAATCATCGTATGACTTGGACTTAATTCACGATGATAACACATTTTTTTTGCTATCCAATATTATTAGAACATGAATGTATGGTGCATGCATTAAAATTATTAATTGAAAAAAGAAAAACAAAGTCGCATTGAATCTCTCTCTCACGCATCGCACGCGCTTATTACCCTTCCCTCAATCTCTCTCTAAGTGGGGACAAAACCCGTGGCTCCATTTCCACCTTCTCTCTCTCTAGAGCCCTCCTTTCTCTCTCTAGAAGCCTCCCTCCCCGTGCGTTATCTTCTCTGAAGATCTGATCCTGGTCCCTTCCTTTGCTCTCTAACCCTAGATCCCCCCCCCCCCCAACA